AGAGAGAGAGAGAGAGAGAGAGAGAGAGAGAGAGAGAGAGAGAGAGATATTTCTCTGACTGTCCTGGAGCTCACACTGTAGACCAGGCTGGCCTCAAACTCACAGAGATCTGCCTACCTCTGCCTTCCAAGTGCTGGGATTAAAGGTGTGCACCACACTGGCTGGGGCTCATTTAAAAATTTTAAAGCCAAGTTCTCATGTATCCCAGCTAGCCTTCAGTTTTTAGGTGGGAGGACAACCTTGAACAAAACGATGACGACACCAGTACAAGCTTTTTGTTCTTTTTTGCTGTTGACAGTGTATTACTCTGTAGACCAGGCTGGCCTTGAACCTACAGAGATCCTCCTGCCTCTGCCTCTAGTGCTGGGATTAAATGCCACCTTGGCATATTTATTTGCTACCAAGCCTGACACCTGAGTCCCATTGCTGGAGCTCACATAGGGGAGGGCAAGAGGACACACACACACACATATTCATGTGCACGTACACGTGTACAGCCATGCACATACACACATCACACACAGATGTAATTAAATTAGCTTACATAGTAAGCATGTGCGTATGAAACAGTGTTTAAGGTTACTCACAGAAGCACAGGGGAGGGGAGTTTTATAGAATGGTCTGTCTTAGTGGCCATAGTAAGAAAATGTCTTTCCCCAGCCTGCAGCAATTAACTGTCTAGATACCCTCAGGGATGTGGGAGCCAGGAGAGCTTCTCCACCTAGTTACGATAACAACCTAAATGTAATTTAAAGGAAATTTTGTTTTATATGCACGGGTGTTTTTATGTGCCGTGCTCAGGGAGGGCAGTACAGGAGTCAGATCCTCTGAAACTGGAATGACAGACAGTTGTCAGTCACTATGTAGGTTCAGGGAACTGAATCCAAATCCTCATCAAAAGCAGCAAGTGCTTTTAAAAAAAAAAAAAATTTTTTTTTTTTTTTTTTTTTAGGTTTTTTTGAGACAGTGTTGCTCTGTGTAGTTCTGGCTGTCCTGGAACTCACTCTGTAGACCAGGCTGGCCTCGAACTCAGAAATCCGCCTGCCTTTGCCTCCCGAGTGCTGGGATTAAAGGCGTGCGCCACCACCGCCCGGCAAAAAAAAAAAAAAAAAAAAAAAAAAAAAGCCCTAATTAATTTACTTATTCGCTGTTAATTTTATGTGTATGAGTGTTTTGCCTGAATGTGTACCATGTGCATGTAGTACCCACAGGTCCCAGAAGAGGGCACAAGATACCCTAGACCTGGAGTCAATGACTATTGTGAGCCAACGTGTGGGTGCTGGGAATTGAATTTAGTCCTCAGTAAAAGCAACAAATGCTCTAAACAGCTGAGGCATTTCTCCAGCCCCTGCTTGAAGTGGTTTTATCGTTGTTTTGAAGTAGGTTCTTAAGGTGACTGGCCTGAAATTTGTCTGTTAGTATTCTGTCTAAACTCCACCTCCACAGTTATCTGGCAACAGCTAGGTATGCTCCGCCCCACAGTTACCTGGCAACAGCCAGGTAGGCTTGCCCACTATAAAAGGGACTGCTTGCCCTCTCCTCTCCCTCTTACTCTCTTACTTTCTTTGTCTCTTGCCTCTAGCTTCTCTCTGTCCCCTCCCCCTTCCCCCTCTCTCCACGTGGTCATGGCCGGCCTCCACTTCTCTCCTCTGTCTTTCTCCACCATCTTCTCCTATTTCTCTCCCCCCACCTTTGCCCTCTGCCCTGAATACCCCCCCCCCAAACGTTTGGTCTGGTGTTGTCTGTTCAAAGCTGCATGCGGACGTCTAACAGTCTGGCTTTAAATTCCTGAACTGTCTTAACTCTATCCTCTGGAATTCCTCGTTACTCACAGCTTTAAAGTAATAATAATAATAATAATAATAATAATAATAATAATAATATAGCCAGGCAGTGGTGGCGCACGCCTTTAGTCCCAGCACTTGGGAGGCAGAGGCAGGCGGATTTCTGAGTTCGAGGCCAGCCTGGTCTACAGAGTGAGTTCCAGGACAGCCAGGGCTATACAGAGAAACTCTGTCTCGAAAAAACAATAATAATAATAATAATAATAATAATAATTAATAATAGAAAGCAGACAACAGAATTTCTAAAATAAGTAAGTAAGTAAATAAGTGAATAATTAACCCTGGAAATCCCACTAGTCCAGACTTGAGACATTAGTATCTTTGAGTTCTAGGGCAGCCTCGACTATGCAGAGAAACAATAAGCAAAGAAAACTGAGTGAGGTGGCATCAGGGCACCACAGTGTCTACCGACTGTGGTTCTGATCTGAGGGGTGCTGTCTGAGAGAAGTTCAACAAGCACAGAGAGGCCCCAGGCAGGCTCCATAGTTGATTGTCTCCCAGGCTCAGTGGGAAGATGAAGCTGCATCTATCCCAAGGAGGCTAGACCCTGTTTGCAGTCCCAAGACCTTTGAGCTCACTCAGCATGCAGGTTGAGATGAAAGAAGCTGACAGGACAGCAGCTTGGTCAGTATCACCTGAACATGCCCACTCATGACCCTGGGAGGTCACAAGTGAGGCAGGGTCAGGGGCTGGAGGCCAGACAGGATTCCTCGGTGCCCCACTGAAGAGGTGTTATTCTATTCTGTGACCAGAAGTCAATAAGTGTTAAAAGCAGCATTGTCTCCCCTTTGAAGGGAAACAAGTTCTTACAATAGAATAAAATAGTTCAAAATGTTAACATTCCAGTTTCAAAAACCATGAGCAGTGTCTTGGGGACAGACTAGCCAGTTATTTTTGTTATTGTGGTCAGACCTAGGGCCATGCATTCACCAGGCAAACCCTCTACCATGGAATTAACTGTCTGACAGTTTAAATGAGTCAGCCTTTCAATGGGGTTTGAGAGTCTTTCTGGCCAGTTTTTTTTGGGGGTGGGGGGTCAAAGTCAGAAATTGGCTAGGGTGGCAGTGCACGCTACAACCCCAGTACCTGGAAAGCAGAGACAAGAACATCACCAGAAATCAGAAGCTACCCTGGACCATACCAAAAGTTCCAGGAAGGCACTGGGAAGATGGCCCAAAGTTAAGAGCACTTGTTTCTGTGGAAGACCACATTTGAGAGAGATAAAGAAGAGGGAAGCAAGCCAACAAGAAAAGAAAGGAGGGAGGGAAAAAGAAAGAAAGGAAGGAAGGAAGGAAGGAAGGAAGGAAGGAAGGAAGGAAGGAAGACTATAGGGCTAAGAGTGGGCTGTCTGCTCGCCTAGCATGTTCTCAGCCCTGAATTCCATACCATGAATCGCATCTACTCTAACTGGGAGTCATATGTAGGCTAGTTTAAAAGTTCAAACTAGGACCAGCAAGGTGACTCAGTGGGTAAAGGAGCTTGCCTCCAGGCCTGATAACCTGATTTCAATTCCTGGAACCCATATGAAAGGAGAGACCAGCTCCTGCGAACGGTACTGTGAGCTCCGCCCCTGTACTGTGGCATGCACAGCCCCCTCACAGGCGCCACAGACAAAGGTATTATTCAAAGAGAAACAAGTTGAAGGTCAATCTGGATCCCATGAGACCCTGTCTCAAAATTACACATCTGATAAATTAGTCTCTACTATGTTCCCAGGAGCTATCTCATTGCCTTGCATATCACAGACACCAGGGTTAGGGTTTGTTGAATGAGAATGAGTGTGTCTCCCTTTCCACTCACCCTCTACACTGCTGACCAACCCGCTGTGGGGAGAGTCGAGCAAGAGAAGAAGAAAACACAGACAGACAGACAGACACACACACACACACACACACACACACACACACACACACACCATCTGTCTTTTCGCATTGAATTGCCTCCGAGGAGCTGAGAAGAGAGCAATTCACACTTGATTACCTCCCAAGCTCCTGAATTGAGCAGCGGAGGCTAGACCGCTGAGCTGCGCTCTCCAGAGGCTGCACACTACCCAGCTCAGTCAGCCATGCAGACTTCCCAAAGGCTTCTGACTCTTGGCTTCCTTCTGTTAACCCTGGCCTGTGGCCAGACATCCGACTTTCAAGACTATGACTTTTTGCAGTTTTTAGGCTTAGAGAAAGCGCCTTCGCCTCACAGGTTCCAACCTGTGCCTCGCATCTTAAGGAAAATCATCCGGGCTCGAGAAGCTGCTGCGGCGAGCGGAGCCTCGCAGGACTTATGCTACGTGAAGGAGCTGGGTGTCCGTGGGAACCTCCTTCGGCTTCTCCCAGACCAGGGTAAGGAACCCGAGGATTTGTCAGAGAAAAATCTCAAGTGGGTGCTGTAGATCAGAGAGGAGGGGACAGACGGCCACCACGGCTGGCAGCCGTCTGAGCTAGGATCTTGCACATTCCGTCTCGGTTCCAAGATGAACCCAGAGGGAGGCACGTGTTCTTATCACCTCTCCACGCTATTCTAACTGCCGCTGTGCCGGCTTAGCATTGTTTAATTTACAGTTAACAGAGGGTGGGCTTAGACAGTAGGCCATCGATTCCAGAGCTAGACAATATCACAACTTGGGTGAGACGGAATTCAAGGTAGGTTTTAAAGTCAGCGGCTCCCCACCACCTCCCTTCTCTCTTCTCCTGCTTACTCTCTTCCTGTTTTTAATATGTGTTTGTGTGTGCCTATCCTAAGAGTCCAGAAGAGGTGTCAGATCCCCCAGAGCTGAAATTACAGGAGGTTGTGAGCTGCCCAACCGCATGGTTGCTGCGACCTGAGCTCTGGTCCTCTTAAACATTCGGCCATCTTTCTTTTTATCCCCTCTGTGTTACTTTCATTGGATGCAAAAAGCACGTCTTGGTTTTAATTAATTAAGGTTCCTTGTGTAGCCCTGGCTGTCCTGGAACTCGCTATGTAGACCTCTGCTTCCCAAGTACTGAGTGCTGGGATCAAAAGCCAGCACATCTCGTGATTTTATCTATTTATTTATATTTCATTAATTTTTTTTGTTTTGTTTTGTTTTTTGTTGTTGTTGTTTTTCCGAGACAGGGTTTCTCTGTGTAGCCCTGGCTGTCCTGGAACTCACTCTGTAGACCAGGCTGTCCTCGAACTCAGAAATCCGCCTGTCTCTGCCTCCCAAGTGCTGGGATTAAAAAGGCGTGTGCCACCACTGCCCGGCTTCATTAATTATTTTATTTAATTTTGTTTGTTTCTTCAACACAGGATTTCTCTGTGTAGCCCTGGCTGTCCTGGAGATCTCTTTCTAGACCAGCATAGCCTTGGATTGGAGAGACACCCTCTGCCTCTGCCTCCCAGGTGCTAGGATTAAAGATATTCTCGATCACGCATGACTTGACTTTTTAAAAATACAGACCCATGGTATTAAACTAAGCCACAGTCACATTCTTATAAAAGTCTGAGGGACTGCCATCCCATAATTTTTTAAACTGACCGACCACCAAATTGTACAAGCCTCCTGTCTTACATTTTAAAAGTAGGTCTTCTAGCCTTAGGCTGTCTGTCCTCCATTTCTCTACTTGATTCTTATTCAAAGTTGGAGATTGTTTCGAGCAGCCACCTTCCTGCATTGGCATTCAGATGCATAGTTATTCTAGTAACTGTTTTGTTCTTGGCTTGGGTGTTTTTTGTTGTTTTGAGACCCTACCATTGTCTGCAGCACCATCTGCAGCACTGTCTGCAGCTCAGACTGGCCAAAGTTTTCCAGCAATCCCCTTGCTGTAGTTTCCCAAGGGCTCAGATTATAAAGCAGAAAGAGAAAGGATTCTCTTTCTATTATGGATTCTATAAAGGATTTTTGTTTGTTTGTTGGTTTGTTTTTTCGAGACAGGGTTTCTCTGTGTAGCCCTGGCTGTCATGGAACTCACTCTGTAGACCAGGCTGGCCTCAAACTCAGAAATCTGCCTGCCTCTGCCTCCCAAGTGCTGGGATTAAAGGCGTGCGCCAACACTGCCCGGCTTCTATAAAGGATTCTTATTTCTATTATAATAGAAAAGGACTTTCTATTATGGAGGAAGGATTTGGATATGTACTTGTCTCCGAAGCCTTTAATGTATACTTCTTGGGAGTTGGATTGGGAATAGTCTTGAAAGTCCAGATCAAAAATTTACTCCATTTCAGAGTTTCAGCAGGCCATGGTGGTGCACGCTTTTAATCCCAGCACTCAGGAGGCAGAGGCAGGTGGATCTCTTGAGTTCGAGGCCAGCCTGGATAGCCCAAGTACCAGGACAGCCAGGGTTGTTACACAGAAAAACCCTCACCACCTTGTAAACCAACACTCCCCCCCAACCCACCCCCCCAAAAAACAACCCCAAATTTCTACTGCACTCCTTTAGTCCCAAGTCTTGGGGCAGGGCATGGGGACGGAGGCGGAGCTGGAGGTGTGAGGGAGACCATACATAGGAGACTGGTGTGTGTGTCCTGGGGATTGCCTAATACCCCTGAAGTTCTGGATTTGAGCTCCAGCATAGTATAAACCAGATGTTCAGAAATAGATTTGCAGTCTTGGAACTTTGAAAGTAGAGGCAGGAGGATTAGAAGTTTAAAGCCATTTTTGGCTCTATAATGAATTCAAGGTCAGCCTTGGTTACAATGGACCTTGTCTTTAAAAAAAAAAAAAAATCAACACAAACAAACACAGTCCCTCCAAAAATAAATAAATAAATACACAAATAAATAAAGCAAAATGGTGAGTCTGGGTCACTGGCTTAGTCAGTGAAGTGATTACCTTGTTTACAAGTGTGAAGTTCAGCAGCCAGGTGTTACATGTCCTCCTGTAACCCCAGCATTCTAGGGCACAGACAGACAGATCCCTGGAGCTCACTGGCCAGCCAGTGTAGCCAAATTGGTGAACCTCAGGTCAATGAGACCTTATGTAAGAAAACCAAGGTAGACAACTCCTGGGGAGTAGCACACATCTGGACTTGAATAAGGAGGACTGGGGAATCGTCCTCCCAAAAGGAAGCATTTGACTGGAGCTCAGGGTTGTGCTCACTTATGCACAAGCACATGTGGGTCTGAAGTAGAAACTGTTGCAGTGTCTCTCGAATGTTTCTTTTTGCTTTTAGGTTTTTTCCTTAACACACAGAAACCTTCCCAAGATGGCTCCTGTCTACAGAAGGTCCTCTACTTTAATTTGTCTGCCATCAAAGAAAAGGGAAAGTTGACCATGGCCCAGTTGACTCTAGACTTGGGGCCTAGGTCCTACTATAACCTGCAACCAGAGCTGGTGATGGCTCTGTCTGTGGTTCAAGATCGAGGTGTGCGGGGGCGATCCCACCCTAAGCTGGGCAGATTGCTTGCTCAGCTGTCTGTCCCCGGGCCTCAAGGTTCGCTTCAGTTCAACCTGCAAGGTGTGGTTAAGGATTGGAACAGAAACCGACTGAAGAGTTTGGACTTATACTTACAGATCCTGGTCCAAGAGGACAGATACTCCGGGGTAAATGTCCAGCTCGAGAACCCCTGTGACCGGCTGATACGGTCTCTTCATGCCTCACTGCTGGTGGTAACCCTCAACCCTAAACACTGTCACCCTTCTTCCAGAAAAAGGAGGGCCGCCATCCCTGTTGTCCCCAAGGGTTTTTGTAAGAACCTCTGCCACCGTCATCAGCTGTTCATCAACTTCCAGGACTTGGGTTGGCACAAGTGGGTCATTGCCCCTAAGGGGTTCATGGCAAATTACTGTCATGGAGACTGCCCCTTCTCAATGACCACGTATTTGAATAGTTCCAATTATGCTTTCATGCAGGCTCTGATGCACATGACTGACCCCAGGGTCCCCAAGGCTGTCTGTGTCCCCACCAAGTTGTCTCCCATCTCCGTGCTCTATCAAGATAATGATAAGAACGTCATTCTCCGACATTATGAAGACATGGTAGTCGATGAGTGTGGGTGTGGGTAGTCTCAGGAATACGATAGGAGTGTGCTTAGGGTAAATTCTTCAATAAAACTACGGATCTTGGCTTACGATCTCTTCAACTGGACATGTCCGCCATCGTGTTTAATGATCTCCACAATTACACACGTGTTTAATGATCTCCACAATTACACACGTGTTTAATGATCTCCACAATTACACACGTTTGTGTACAGCTGCAGAGCCCTTAGTGGGCTTAGCTCATTTGTGCTCATTATGCATAACAGCCAGGCGTCTTGTTCTTGTTTGAACAAGGTCTTACTGTATATCCTTTGCTGGCCTTGAACTCACAGTAATCCTCTTTTCGCTACCTCTGAGTGCTGGGATTACATCTGTGTGCCACCAGGGCCAAGTCTTTTTTTTTTTTTAAACAGAGTCTGTACACTAGACTGTCCTACAACTATGTAGCCCAGGCTAAGGCTAACCTCAAACTCACAGACTCCATCCGCTTCCTGAATCCTAGGTTTAAAGACCTGCTCTCTTCCATATGTATATACAATTACATAGCTTAAAGTTTTTAAATTACTTTGAGAAAATATAACATAGAAAAGCTTACGTGATCTTTAAAAAGATGCTGATTTCCTCCTTGTATGTGTGGGTGCTTGTGTGAGTGCACTGTGTACATGCAGGAATCCATGGTGGCCAGAAGAGGGAGTCAGATCCCCTGAAGTTACAGGTGATCATGCGTCTCCTGCACTGGATCAGTCAGTGCTCTTAACTCCTGAGCCGTTTCTTTAGCCCCAGATCTTTCAAATGATTTTACAGCTTAGAGTACTTGCTTTCTTCACTATGGAATCATGGGTTTCCCCTGTGTTGTGTTTTGTTTTCTTGAGACAGAGACTAGAGTCCAGTTCTTCCTCAAAGCTCCCTTTGTAGTACAGGAGAGTTTTGAACTGCAGACCCTCCAGCGCCCACCTCTCCCATGCTGGGATTTTGAGTGTGCACCACCACACCCAGAGGTTCCTCTTGTTTTGGTTTTCTTGAGATAGTTTCAGTCTCTAGTCTAAACTGGTCTCCAGGCTTCTGGAATGCTGGGATTGGAGGTATGAATAACCGTGCCTGGCTTTAGAATTTTCTTTTTCTTGCCAGGCTGTGGTAGTGCATGCCTTTAATCCCAGCACTCAGGAGGCAGAGGCAGGTGGATATCTGAGTTCCAGGTCAGCCTGGTCTACAGAGATGGTTCCAGGACAGCCAGGGCCACAGAGAAACCCTGTCTCAAAAAAACAAGTCTCATTTATCCCAGATTAGTTTAAGACTTAAGTAGTAGGGAAAGGGTGACCTTGAACTTCTAACAGTCCTGCCTTTACCTCAGAAGTTTTGCTGCTATAGACATGCACCACCATACCTGACTTGTGTTTATGTGGTCCTGGGTCTACACTAGGCCCAGACTCTACCAACAGAGCTACAACCTCAGGCCTCTTTGTTTTTGTTTGTTTGTTTGTTTTTTTGAGACAGAGTCTTACATAATTTACTGATCTCAAACCTCCTGTCTCTGCCTCTGGAGTGCTCCTAATGCAGACTTATGTCACCCACCACACCTGGGGTTTTGTTTTTGTTGTTTCCGGATTTGTTTTGTTTTGAGACAGAGTCTAACTTTCTTTTTGTTTTGTTTTGTTTTTGTTGTTGTTGTTTTTCTTTTAAAGATTTATTTATTTATTATTTCTGAATACACTGTAGCTGTCTTCAGACACACCAGAAGAGGGCATCAGATCTCATTACAGATGGTTGTGAGCCACCATGTGGTTGCTGGGATTTGAACTCAGGACCTCTGGAAGTGCAGTCAGTGCTCTTAACCACTGAGCCATCTCTCCAGCCCTTGTTTTTTTTTCAAGACAGGGTTTCTCTGACTGTCCTGGAACTCACTCTGTAGACCAGGTTGGCCTCGAAATCCGCCTGCCTCTGACTCCCAAGTGCTGGGAAGTGCTGGGATTAAAGGCGTGGGCCACCACCGCCTGGCCAATAGCGATTTTTTTTTTTGGGGGGGGTTTGTTTTTCGAGACAGGGTTTCTCTGTGTAGCCCTGGCTGTCCTGGAACTCACTCTGTAGACCAGGCTAGCCTTGAACTCTCAAACTCAGAAATCCACCTGCCTCTGCCTCCCAAGTGCTGGGATTAAAGGCGTGCGCCACCACCGCCCGGCCTAGGATTTTCTTAATAAATTTACTTCAACTGAATTATTACAGCAAGATTTTGTTAGGGTGTTTAAATAGATAATGGATTTTATGTACATGTGTTTGATACTTTCCTATTCTTTTTTTTTGAATAATTTATATGTAGAAATGTTTATTATAAAATTATATATAGAAATAATTCTACTTTATGTACATTGGTGTTTTGACTGTATATATCTCTGTACAAGGGTATCAAATCCCTTGGAACAGGAGTTACAGACAGTTGTGAGCTGCCATGTGGGTGCTGGGAACTGAACCTGGGAGAGCAGCCATTGTTCTTAACCACTGAGCCATCTCTCCAGCCAATACTTTCTTCTTCTGATTAGCTAGAGTTGTCAGCTTAACACAGCCCAGAGTTATTATCTCAGGGAGTCTCAATGGGGAATTGCCTCGATCAAACTGGCGTTCAGGTTATGTCTGAGGACATTTTATTGATAGTTGATTGATGTGGGAGGGCCCAGCCCACTCTGGGCAGTGCTATTCCTGGGCAGGTGGACCGGGCTGTATAAGAAGAAGGCTGAGGGGCTAGAGAGATGGCTCAGTGGTTAAGAGCATGTGCTGCTCTTGCAGAGAGCTAGAGTTCTGTTCCCAGCACCCATGAACTCTAGTTCTAGTAAATTACACACACGCACACACACACACACACACGCACACACGCACACACACTCACACACACGCACACGCACACACATGCACACACACACAAACAACTAAAAATAAAGTAAAATAGGGAAGAAAAGAAAAAAGAAAAGCAGGCTGAGCAAGCCATGAGGAACAAGGCAGTACTCAGCATTTCTCCATGGTCTCCCCTCCAGTTTCTGCTTCCTGTTCCTCTTTTAAGTTCCTGCTCTGACTTCTCTCAGTGATGAATTGTTCTCTGGGAATGTAAGATGAAATAAGTCCTTTCTCCCCCAGGGTGTTTTTGGTTGTGTTTGTCACAGCAATAGAAAAGTTATTAAGTTAATAACTATATAACTATAATTTAGTAATTATAATTTAATATAACTTAATAACTTAATAAATATAACTTGATAACTATAATTTAACAACTATAAAAGTTATTAAGAGAGAGAGGCTGGAGAGAAGGCTCAGCAGGTAAGAGGTAAGTGTGGCTAAATCGTGGACACTGGAGTTCAGATCCCAGCACCGATGTAACAAGCCTGGTGTCCTGCAAACATGTCTAACTAGTTCTGAGGGATCCTACATTCTCTTCTGTACACACATACACACACACACACACACACACATACACACAAAATTGGGCTTTTTGTTTATGTGAGACAGGGTTTCTCTGTGTAGTTCTGGCTGTCCTGGAATTCTCTCAGTAGGCTATGCTGGTCTTGAACTCAGAGATCCAGCTGCTTCTGCCTCTCATGTGCTGGGAGTAAAGGTGTGCGCCACTACCGTCTAGTTCAAAAATCAGTCTTTTTATACACCTGTAATCCCAGCACTTAGGAGACAGGGGTAGGTGAATCTCTGAGTTGGGGCTCACCTGGTTTATATAGAGAGTTATAGACAACCAGAACCACATAAAAAGACCTTGTCTCAAAAAGCAGGAGAAGGGGGAGAAGAAGAAAGGAAAAGAAAAGATAGTAAAAACTCTGTTGAAAGCATAATGGTGTAAGAAGGAACCAAACTGAAGCCATTTTGAATAAAACCTCCATTTTGAATAGGAGTCAAATAAAGTTTAAGTTTCCCAAGAATGTCAATGGGTAACTGACATTCTGCTTGGCAAATTGAGATATGATTGCTAGGCAAGTCTCCCAGAATAAACCAACCAACAGAAACAGGATAAGTGCCGGGCGGTGGTGGCACACGATTTTAATCCCAGCACTTGGGAGGCAGAGGTAGGCAGATTTCTGAGTTCGAGGCCAACATGGTCTACAGAGTGAGTTCCAGGACAGCCAGGGCTACACAGAGAAACCCTGTCTCAAAAAACAAAAAACCAAAAACCAAATCAAACCAAAAAGAAAAAAAAAAGAAACAGGATAAGTGTACCACAAAGACAAGTTCCTAAGGAAATCTTCTATCCCTCAATCCTAATTTGTGGAATAACTTGTGGATTTGGAGTTTACCAAACTCTGCAACATTCTGGGTGGTGGTGGTGGCAGTCAGTTTTTGCTGCCTAATTCAAATAAAAATTTTGCTTTGCTGTACTCTTGCGATGACTTGGTTTTTTTTGGATTTTTACACTCCTAACATTTAGGTACCAAACGTTGACCCACCTGAGCTCCCAAGCTGAATTAGCAGCACCTCAGATGGTTTTTTAGTCATCTGGACTCCCGGAGGGGAGCCTGTATTCTGTTTGCTGATTGGAGTCTGTCTGGGACCCAAGAAATGAGAAAGAGGACCCAGCATTGCTCCTAGGGTCAGAGGTGGACAGGAGACGTTCTGCCTTCTCACTGGTTTCCGCTGAGGAACCATTTGGTTCTGGGCATGCACGATTGCCCGTGTCTGTCAGTTTATGTCTGTAGTTTCATTTAGTTTGAATGTTGCTCTGTGTTTCATATCCGGGAAAACGGGCCAAAGTTCATCTGCGGGCTATTCACCTCTTAGTATTTACACATCTCAAGGATTTTCAGAAGAAAAAAAAGCGGCTGAGTCGGGACAATAACAACAACAACAACAAAAACTGATAAATTGGCATTGCTCCTGCAGAGGTGAGTCCAACACCGCTGGTGAAGCCCCGCCTCCTCCTCGCCTGACAGCAAACCCCAGCCGCCTGATCTGTACAAGCTGCTCTTAAAGCAGAACCAGCAGCTCCTCAGCTTTCTCTAGTCAGGAAGCTGGTGCCTGCTCCCGCTACAGAACCTCTGTACCCTTGAGAATTGGATTCTGCAGGCAGCAAGGCGCTCCCTTCTTGAAATCACATCAGGAAGAAGTAAGAAAAGTTTTGTCTGTTTTGAATGTATAAATGTATGTGGCCACTGCATGTTTGTTTCTGACAGGTCTTAAATGTATGAGTGTGTACTAGGTTCTATATGTATTGGTTATAGATCATAGGCTTATAAATTATTGGGTATGATTAAAAATTTATAATATCTGTACCAAAAAGTTAACTTAAAACTAGTAATTCAGGATTGGGGCCATTCTGGGCAGCAACACCTGACATGAGCCAGCCAAGGAAACGGGTCTCCAAAGATACTTTTAAATTGGAATAAGATTTTTATATAATTTTTGCTCTATCTTAAAAAACAGGTTTATAAAAAAAATAGGAGATATTAAAGCTGAACCTTTATGCATTCTTATACAAAAACTTTTCTTTCTGGCAGCTAAACTTTGTAACATAAAAATAACCCACTTATAATAATAACTTAAAATAACTAACTCACTTATAATAAAACCCTAAGTTGTTTACACTGTTAAAATTTGGTTTTGTCTTCTAAGAATTATGGTTGTGTTCCATGTCTTCACTCTTTAAAACAGTACTTTGTTTTTCAAAAAACCACACAATTGAGAGATTTTAAACCACTTTAATGAAAACTTTGGAATTTTACAAAAAATTAAAAACTGGTCATTAAAAAAACAGCTTTTAAAAAATGTTTTCATTTATAAAGCTATGGAACATTATAAAGTTTATCAGATATTTTGTTGTATGCCTTTATTAGTATATGGTCTTTATGAATAAGTATATAAAAGACTAAAGCCTAGGGCAAACAGGTTTATCATGCTCACAGGCTCCGTATTAAAGGATAAACAGTTTTCAGATGCAACTCTTCACTAAAAGAACATACTTTATAATGACTCTTCTCAATAACAACTACTTATGTCTTATGAAAAAAAATTCCAAGCCCATGCAAAACCTAAGGATAGAAAAACTTAAATAAGTTCTAAAAATCTCAAAAATAATGTAAAATGTGTAACGGTAAGGAATATTTCCTATCTCTTTCCCCTTCTGTGCCCTGAGATTTTGGAATTTCAAGATTTGATAGGGCACTGACTTCTTACTACTCCATCACCAGCTCAGGATTTTGAGTTTTCTCTGATTGTCTTCTAGATATAACTAAAAGATGCTTTTTATTGGATTAAAACATCTATGTCCAACTTATAACCTCATTCTCTGAACAAAAACAAAAAAAAATGTTCATACCTTTTAAACCTAAAACTATAGTTTGTGCTGGGACTCAAAGGCATCAATCTGCTTCTGTTGTTTGCAAACATATTAACTACTTTTCTACAATATGAATTTCTTTCTTTCTTTCTTTCTTTCTTTCTTTCTTTCTCTCTCTCTCTTTTCTTTCTTTCTCTCTCTCTCTCTCTCTCTCTCTCTCTTTCCTTCTTTCTTTCTTTCTTGTTTTGGTTTTGTTTGTTTGTTTTTTTTTTTTTTTTTGAGAGACGGTTTCTCTCTATAGCCCCTGGCTGTCCTGGAACTCACTCTGTACACCAGGCTGGCCTCGAACTCAGAAATCCGCCTGCCTCTGCCTCCCAAGTGCTGGGATTAAGAGCATGTGCCACCACTGTCCAGCTGCAATATGAATTTCAATACAATGGTAATGCTAATATATCTCCTTTTTAAACTTAACATTCATGTAAGCATCAGGGAATCAGAGAACTCATGAGACTTAGGTCTACCTGTTACAGGTCAGATGGACTCCAGGTAGTACAGCCTAAGTTTCTGCTAATCAGATGCTTCTGAAAAATGCCCCATTGTCCAGCATTTGACCAGCATGTTCAGCCTTCCTGGGCCCTGACAACTGAAAATATAGTTATAGAAGAGAGTACATTGCTCCTGCCCCCTTGACATAAGTCAAAAGTAAATTTTCTTAGGGGCAAACTTGTTTCTATGCCTTTGGGCTAGTGTCGGGGGCCAGGAAAATATACCCTGGAGCTAAAAATACTTGCCTCGGGCAGCCTGCCCTCTGCCACCGTGAGAGCAACAGTCACTTCCTTGTTCTCAGCATGCTTACGCAGGGTTTTTGGCTTACCACGGAGAGTTCAGCTAGTCCCCTTACCCAATTGTCCCCTTACCCAATTGTCCCCTTACCCAATTGTCCCCTTACCCAAATGTTCCCTTACCCAATTTTAGTTTTCCATTCCCCCTACCCAACTTTAGTCCCCACCCAACCACAAGTTCCTTAACCCAGTTCCCTAAACCCTTGCCACATGTCCCAAGAGGCCACCCCCTCCTCCCACTCCCTCCAGTATATCTTGTAGCCGCTTCAGCAATAAAGTGAGACCTTGACAAGATTCAGCTGGCTCTGTGCCTCTTTTCTCCTTGCTTGGTCTCGCGCCTCTTTCTCCCCTGTTTCTTCCCCTAGGCTCGTCTTCTCCGAGGACCCTGCGACAAAAGCTGCCCCGCGGGACGGGGCAGGCTAGCCCAAGACACCTTAGTGGAAATCTACTGGATAGGGAGTAGTAGCAAGGGAGACAGGCTGGTAACTGGTCCCAGAATTTCTTTGATTGAGCCCCTTCACTGACTACCATTTTTACTACTGTATAAAGACCACTGTCCTTCCTTTTCCTCCTGCTCCTCATTGGGCCTTGATTCCCGACTCAGTTAAGCTTATGGTCCTAAGAACCCAACACAATCCTTTATAGTCAGAAACAAATACTCAAGGACTTGGGCAATGTACAAACACAAAGAGGGGGAGTATAAGAAGGAGCTAATCTGAAGCCACTTTGAATAAAACTTTCATTTTGAATAGGGGTCAAGCAAAGTTTAAGTTCCCAAGACTTCCCTGGGTAACTGGCATCCTGCTTGGCAGAAAGAGAGATGAATGTGGGTAACTGGCATCCTGGTTGGCAAGTTAAGACATGATTGCTGGCAAGTGTCCATGTCATACTTGAATAACCAACCAATGGGAACTGGTATACCACGAAGACTTGTTCTCTTCCCTAAATAGGATTGGTGGGATAGAGAAGTCCTGTATCCCTAAATCCTCTTTGGTGGGATGACTTGGCAGAGATGTTTGTGGTTTTGGAGCTTAAAAACTGCAACATTCTGGCTCAGGGTTGCAGTTCAGCTCTGGTAGAGTCTGTTCTGTGGCCCTGATAGACCAGTAGTGGAGTATAATTAATATTATAATATAATATTATACATTTATATTATATTATTATGCAATATAATTAATTTTTGCCATCTGCTTAAATGCTTATTAAAATGAATATGCAGACAGCCCCTGAGTCTCTGCTCTTGTCCCTGACCAGTCAGTGTTTTGCTGCCTAATTCAAATAAAGATCTTGCTTTGTGTGGACTCTTGTTTCCACTTGGTCGTTTTGGATTTTTCGGACCTTGACAATGGTTCTTTCCTCTTCCCAGGACTGCCCGTGGTTGTTTTGTTCTGCTTCTGGATTCTTCATATTAGCTCCAAGGACATCATGAGCCAGGTATGGTAGCATTCCTCTACCCAACCCCTGTGATACCAGCACTTGGGAAGTGGAGAAGAGGGTCAGGAGTTCTAGGCTAGTCTGAGCTACATGCAACTATCTGGGAAAAAAACAGAAAACCACCACAATACGGACTGGTAAGGTGCTCAGTAGACGAGAGGTGATTGCTACTGGGCCCAGTGATGTGAGTGTAGTTTCCAGAATCCAGAGGTGGAAGAAGGAAACTCACACAAGAAAGATGTCTCTGACTTCCTCCTGGGCCCTGTGGATGTGGACTCCTGTGAGTTCTCTCCTTCTGCTACATGGGCCCTTGGGCTAGAACTCAAATCTTTAGACTTGCCAGCAAATGCCTGTACCCACTCATCCTGTCCATCTTGCTGGTCATATTTTTAAATTTAATTTTAAAAGATTTATTTTATGTTATGTATGTTCGCGTGCTTGAGTTTGTGTACCCCATATGTGCAGGAGCTTGCAGAGGCCAGGTCCAGGTCTGAACTGGAGTTACAGACAGTTGTAGGCTGCCACGTGGGTGATGGGAACCGAACCTAGGTCCTCTGCACGAGCAGTCAGTGCTCTTAGCCCCTGAACCATTTCTCCAGAACTTGTTTTTAAGTAAGGGGTGGGGCATAACTATTGGGACACTAGTGATTGCTCAAGAATTTTCTTTTTTGAGGGGTGGGGGGGTGTTTTGAGACAGGGTTTCTCTGTATAGTCCTGGCTGTCCTGGAACTTACTCTGTAGACCAGGCTGGCCTCGAACTCAGAAATCTGCCTGCCTCTGCCTCCCAAGTGCTGGGATTAAAGGTGCCTGGCTCTTCTCGTTTTATTTATTAGTTTTTGAGACAATGTCTCATGTAGCCCAGGCTGAACTCACACCATGAAGCCCAAGCAAGACCTTGGCTTCCTGCATCTATGTCCCATTGCTGGAATTGCAAGCATGTACCACCGCCACATCTGCCTAAATCCTTACTCCCTGGTGATTTTCTTCTCTATTTGAAACAAAGTTAAGCACTTTCTTTATGTCATGCACACAGGACATAATACTTTCTTTATGAGCAGAGAATCTAGACCATGTGACTGTAAAGATCTGCCCCTGGTGTCGTGGCTAAAACCAGCTGTCATTGTTAATGTCCGTGCTCTGTTGATTTTATCACTATTTTTGTCGCTTCGGGAATGGGGAGGAGAAAAAAAATGATGAGAAATATTACATGTGACAGTACTGTCTCTTCCACTCCTTTGGCCAGGCTTCTTAGAGTCCCTGGCGTTGCTCCACACAGCTGGTCTCCTGAGTCCCGGTAACTCCCATTGGACCGGAGCAGCATCGGATTTTTCTACTTAGACATCCAGAGCACTGGGCAGGAATTTGACTGCAGTCTCTGGTAAAATTGATATTTCTGATCTGGTACTGGGTTTAGCCAGACTGCCCCGCCCACCTTTTCTAACCATTCAGATGTCCCTGAAACTCTTCACTCTTTCCTAGATTCCAGGAGATGTTGTGGACAGGTCTCCAGACCTTAGCACGACTAATTCTGTGATGGAAGAAGCCCCATTCAGGCCTTAAAGCTCAGCACATGGGCAGCACCTCCTGCCAAAATGAGAACAAAGTCCGGAGCTCTAGGAAAGTCCCTGAATGTACTAACCTTGCTTTTAGGATTCCGTAATTCTGCTTCTGGCTAACTGTTCTTGTTAACTGAAATATGTCAACCCAGGACATGATTTTGTGCTTGAAAGCTCACCCTGAGAAAGGCTCAGGTCTACACTGGGATCTTGAACACCCAGTATTTTTGCCAGATGGCTAATAAGGACATCCTAGTGGCTTAAACCCATATCTACCAGAGCAGTCTTTTCTGGTGGATACCCCACAACAATATCTTGTCACCCTGACTGGTTTTAGGGAGGATCCTGTTTGGGAGCTGGCTTGTAGCCCAGTGACATGGAGCAAGCAAGCATAAAGCCCTGGATGCAGTTCCTGCCCTTATCTTGGCTTGGTCACTCTGACTCCCTCACCACTCCACTCTTCTGAACCTGCCGCTTTCACATCCCTTTTTCCTTGAATTTAAAATTAAAAAGAGCTTTGTTTGAATTTTTAAGTTTTTTTAAATTTATGTGTGTGTACACATGTGTGCAGAAGGTCAGAGGACAACTATTGAGGGTCAGACTCCTTCCAAGTGAGTCTTCTTAGAAATGGGTGGGACTCATGTCATCAGGTGTGGCTGGCAGTGCCAACCTGCTGAGCCATACTGATGGCCCTTGCTTTGTTCCTGAGATAGGGTTTCGTTTACCCCAGGCTTGCTTTGGAGTTCTTATTAATATATAGATAACGGTGATCTTGAATGTATAATCCTTTTCCCTCATCCTGCCAAGTACCGATACTATAGATGCTTAACACTATGTGTAGATTATATGGTACTGTAGACAGCACCCAAGGCTTGACGCATCCTAGGCAGGCACTACAAATTGAGCTACATTCTCAAACCCCAGATACAATTCTTTGTGAACAAAAATTTATCACCCCTTCGTTCTACCTTTGCCCTGTTTCAGTACAATTTGTCATTCTGGGAAAAAGCACAGAGAGAAATATTGCTAAGAATAATTGCTTTAGGCTGGTCATGATGGGGCACGCCATCAATCCCAGCACACTTGAGGCAGAGGCAGGTGGATCTCTGTGAGTTCCAGGCCAGTCTGGTTTACGTATGGAAATTCCAAACCAGTTAGAATTTTATAGAATTTCCCCTGTCTCAGACAAAACAAAATGAAAATTGTTTTAGCTACAAAGTACCATTTTCAATTCTCAGAAGGTGAATAATAAAGCCAGGTACAGACAGGGCTTACATCTGTAATCCCAACCACTTAGGAGACGGAGGCACAAGGACCACCATGAATTCAAGTCCACCCTGACGTACAGAATGAGACCCTGTCTTAAAAACCAAAAGGTAGGGCTGCAAAGATGCTCAGTATATAAAGGCACTTGCCACCAAGCCTGATAACCTGAGAGTCCCTTGGACCCACAAGATGGAAAGAAAGAACTGACTTCTAAAAGTTGTTCTCTGAGCTCCACATGCATGCTAGATACACACTTGAGTACCTGCACTTGTACACGCACACATAAATTTTAAAAAAATTAAAGATTTGTTGTTGCTGTTGTTGTTGTTTTGAGACAGGGTTTCTGTGGGTAGCCCTGACAATCTTGGAACTCACTATGTAGACCAGGTTGGGCTCTAACTCACAGAGATCTACATGTCTCTATGTGATGAGCAGAGGTAAAAAAAAAAATGCCGTTTAGATATGTAAAAGTAGTGTAGTCAGGAACACCACTTCACTCAAGGCTGCATGTGACAACCAGAACCCTGTGGTATCACTCCCTCAAGATAACCAGACACAGGACTTGAACTCTATCAAGGATGCTCATTTGCTATATAAGCAAAGGCAAGCCATGCTCTGCACTTCCTCAGGACTGCTGGAGACACCGGAGAGAAGCCACCTCGATCTGCCCGGCGCCTGTACAGTCTCCCTGAGCATCCTGACCCTCAAGTCAGAGATGACTGTCTGATTTGCCTCGACTCAGAGAATCTGAACCTGACCTTCAGCTAAGATACCTTTCACAGGTAAGCAGCCTCGGGAAGATAGGCTTAGAGCCATAGCTGGGAACTCAAAGGGTAGGAACCTTGTGTGACGACCTTCGCATAAAATATACCTTTCGTTATACTACCTCAACGTACCTACCTTCTTGCTTGAGACACACTGTCTTCTTTGTGCTGGGATTAATGACGTGGTGCCACCATGCCTGACTTAAAAATTTTTAAAGATTTTTTTTTTTTTTTTGGTTTTTCGAGACAGGGTTTCTCTGTGTAGTTCTGGCTGTCCTGGAACTCACTCTGTAGACCAGGCTGGCCTCGAACTCAGAAATCTTCCTGCCTCTGCCTCCCAAGTGCTGGGATTAAAGGCGTGCGCCACCACCGCCCAGCAAGATTTTTTTTTTTAATTTAAATCAAAAAGTATTAATAGTGAGTGATATGGGAGCTTTCGGCACCTAAAGGGTTCATTGTCCAGACTCTCAGAGAAATAATGATCATAAACTATTGTGGAAAGGTGAATGTTATTGAAACTACCATAGGTAGAGTCCGAGTGGGAAGTAGGGGAGGCTGAATCTGATACAGGCGTTCATTTGGGGGCAGTGGGAGACTTTCACCCAGGAAGATGTGAGGGTGTATGTAAGGTGTTCCAGCCTAGAGTAAAGCCAGAGAGCAAAGGCAGGACTCAGAAGAATAGGAGGACTTTTAGCAATATATGTACTGTGGCTTGGTTCAGCTGGTTGTATGATGTTTCTGCCCTCTGCTGGCTAAAACAAAGATGATCAAACTGGTCACAGCTTCTAGGAAGGCTGAGGCAGGATTCAGGAGGGTTGCCTGAGCCCTAGATTTTAAGGCCAGTATGGCAAATACATGGAGAATTAATCTCAAAAACAAAACAATACCGCCAAAAACATTCCATAAACAAACAACAACAAAACAAGAAAGAAATGTCAACCTCTCCACCGCCCCCACTTGCACACAGAAACAACAACCAAACAGCAACTACCCCATCACATTCACACAAACAGCAGTCCCCACCCAATCACAGTGTTCAGGGTCTCCAAGTCTTGCAGTAAAGAGTTCCCCAGAAGGCAGGCGGATTTCTGAGTTAGAGGCCAGTCTGGTCTACAGAGTGAGTTCCAGTCTTGGGGAAAAAAAAAAAAAAAAAAAAGAGTTCGCTAGAAAGATGGATGATGGGGATTTGAGTTTTTAGGTGTCATCTGTCTAGGAAAGATGAGTTTTATTCATGGGCCATTTCCTGGGCACTGTCCCTCTGTAAACAGGTGAATCTATGTGTCTTCAGTTGTTTGCTTCTGCAAGGTTCTGAGTGACTGTGTAAGTCCCAAAACACACATGCTACTGACACTGCTGTTGCCACCAGCCACGTTGACACAGTGAGGAGCATCCGACCAGGCCTGGAGGTGTAAGTCGAGGCATAAGCTTATTTGGACCATATTGTTCTAGACCAATAATGTGTTCCCAGAATTTGAAATTTCAGGGTTTTGTCTGTTTTGAGATCGAGTCCGGTGCGCCTTCGATGGGAGACACCATGTGCCAGCACTCAAACCCAGAGCTTTGTGCTTGAAGCTAGGCAAGCAATCTACCTAAACTGAGCTAGTTCCAGGCCCTTGACATTATGATAGAAGCAGAGGTGGAGCTGGCTAGTTAAGAACACTGGCTGCTCTTACAGAGGGCTGGGTTAAGGTCCCAGCACCTTATGGAGTTCAGAGCCATCTGTAGCTCCAATTTCAAGGGAAGGCTCCAACCTCCTCAGGCATCAGGAAAAACATAATGAACATAATGCGTATACACACAAGATAAAACAACCTAATCTACTTCTCTCTCTCTCTCTCTCTCTCTCTCTCTCTCTCTCTCTCTCTCTCT